AATTTGTTAATCCCTTGAGGAGTCCACGTAGGTCTCATAGCAAGAGAAGGAATGCACAATCTTCTTAAAAGAAAGGTAGAAAATAGGGTGGGGGGAGCAGAGGGAAATGATATAATCTACTGCACATGGAATTTAAACTCTGGACAGCTCAAATAATTAATTTTTGTTTCCCTTTATGTTGCATTGTATTTCAATGAAAAACAGAAACAAATCCCTTCAAGTTAAGGATATACTGCTTTTAGTGGAATCTGTAGGATGTGATTCAGGAGAAAACCCACAAGCACAACTGGACCTCCACAGTAGAGCTGGGTGACCTAAGAGCCATCATGCATGAGTATATGGTGATGGTCCTCCTAGACATTCCAAATCTCCATGTATGGTTGCCAACGTCCACAATGGTGAGGGAGAATGCCAAGTAGTATGAAGATGCAGTTTAGTGAAATGAAGATTCTTTACCACAGATGGATATGAGTGATTCATAAAACAAATGTTGTGGCGTATCTCCTCTTTAGTGAATCAACACCAACTGTTCCAACCAGAAAATTTTTTAGAATATTGTCCATAAAGGGACATAAAAAATATATTACTGTATCTCTAACACCTAGCAAAGTCAGCAGGTACCCTGTTGGTGGTGATCATATTTTTAAAAAATGAATTGTTCTTAACTCTGAACTTCAAAGACGCAAGAATGGTGGCAATTTAGTAACTGAGAAAAGTGAAGGCTTTGTATTTGCTAAACAATTATTCTAAATAGAGATAAGATATGCTTAATTAACTTACTTAAATTTGTTCTCATTAGCTCTGTAGATATTCTCTTTATATTTAAAAACATTTCAGAGAGTTGTAGCACTATCCAAAGCCATGACAATCATGAGGGTAAAGTGTCAAGGATTTGAAAATCTCTAAATACTCAAAATAAATCTGAGAAAAGTTTTTTCTCAATAAAATTTAGTATATGGGGAAAAAATTAGTAGAGCTCTTTACACTCTCAATGTTTATATAGATTTATGACATATACAGGCATATATTTTATATACAATGGTATATATACATATATATATATAACCATTTATAAAAAGGTTAAATTCCACTCCTACTAAATCATACTCTCATTAAAAATAGCCTCATTATTCAAGTTAATTTTTTTTTTTTACCCTTTGTTAACATTCAATCATTCAGTATAAAAATTTGGCAGTAGCCAGAGCATTTACCAAAACAATTTCATTAGGTATTTTCTTGTTTTTGGAAAGAGCAATATGGAATTATTCATGCTAAGGAGCTTTCCTACAATGGCCTTTGACATTGCTCTCTTTAATATATATAATACTTCTCTTTTGTCTTATGAGGAATCTCAGTAAAGTTTCTTCACTTGCTCTTCATGTTCAGAGAAATATTGTTTGAGTTTTTGCTTGTTTACTGTCAGAGTTGTTTTTTTCTTGACATAGAAAATAATATTTTCACAATTTCTGTAGATCTGTGACATTATAAATGGAAATGAAGGAAGTTGATGCCACATACAGAAGTGAGGGCCTCTGGTTTAGCTGGACTCTCTCTAGTAAAACAACTCATCCTTGCATATCTGCCTCTCTCCTGACTCACAACTACTTCACAGGACACATCATTCAAATTTGTGTCCCAGTAAAATATCCATTACTTTATGACATGGTTACCAGCCAATAAATGTAATCTCCAATGTTAAATCTGCAACTAGCCACCCACTATGTAGGTATTCTAGAATATCACTACTAATGTGATATTTTGCTCGAAGAGCTTCTGAATGAGATTTTGATGTAAATTTACATACACACACGCGAGACTGCTGCGCCATATGAATGCATTTAGCTATTTGTTCAGTTAGCTATTTGTTTACTCACTATTCTATCCTTCACACCTTTATTGTCATGCAAGATCCAAAATCTCGGTGAGATAGTGCAACTACAGAATGACTGAAGATTTGAAAAGGCTTCACAGAACACATCTATGTGTCTGGGCTAAAGTTATTTGCCTCTAACCTTGCAAAAATTACATCATGGAAAAATTTAGCTTCTGAGTGCTAAACCAGCCCTCATTAACGTCCTCATTCCTCTTTAATAGTCCAGTTAAAACCCCTGATTCTTTGTTAACAGGATCCACTCTGAATTGCTCTCTTCCTCGTGGTTTCCTGCCATGTATGCATTTGTAGTATAGCATTTGGGATTTCACTGGTGTTAAGAACAAGATTCAATTTTGTGCTATTTATCTTGGGGGCATTTGACCCATATTTTTATCTATCTTCAGTTAAAGATCTTGAAACAGTGTCAAAGAGATGGGAAAGGTAGATTAGTTTTAGATCTTAAAAGAGAAACTAACATACAGAGGGGTTTAAACATAAACTTAGGCTTGTAGGTTTTAGATTCTGGGATGCTTCCAAGAAACGGGGAGCAAAATAGGGCTGTCTTGTAAAGGATCCCAAGATCTAGACTAAAAACAATTGTTTGGCTATCCTTGGACACAGATGAGCATATCTGAATATTGTTGACTTCTTAACAACTCCTTTCTTCCCTTTACCAAAGGCCTTAACTCCTACTGGTGTATCTGTCTTCAAGATGACATCTCCTTTCCTTGTATTACTTTGTCCTGAGTCAAGAAGCAACAGTTAGAACAAGACATGGAAAAATGGACTGGTTCAAAATTGGAAAGAAGTGTGAGAAGGCTGCCTATTGTCACCCTGCTTGTTTAACTTATATGCAGAGTACATCATGCACAATGTCAGGCTAGTTGAATCACAAGCTGGAATCAAGATTGCCAAGAGAAATATCAACAACCTCAGATATGCAGATGATACTGCTCTAATGGCTGAAAATGAAGAGGAACTACAGAGCCTCCTGATGAGGGTGAAAGAAAAGAGCAAAAAAGCTGACTTAAAACTCAACATTCAAAAAATGAAGATCATGACATCTGATCCCATCACTTTATGGCAAATAGAAGGGGAAAAAGTGAAAGCAGTGACAGATTTTATTTTCTTGGGCCCCAAAATCACTGTGGACAGTGACTGCATCCAGGGAATTAAAAGACAATTTCTTTTTGAAACGTAAGATTTGATAAACCTAGATAGCATATTCAAAAACAGAGACATCACTTTGCTGACAAAGGTTCATACAGTCAAAGCTATGGTTTTTCCAGTAGTCATGTATGGATGTAAGAGCTGGATCATAAAGAAGGCTGAGCACTGAAGAACTGAGGCTTTCTAATTGTGGTGCTGGAGAAGACTCTAGAGGGTCCCTTGGACACCAAGGAGATCAAACCAGTCAATCCTAAAGGAAATCAACTCTGAATATTCATTGGAATGACTGATGCCGAAGATGAAGCTTCAATACTGTGGCCACCTGATGCAAAGAACTGACTCATTTTGGAAAAACCCTGATGCTGGGAAAGACTAAAGGCAAAAGGAGAAGGGGATGGCAGAGGATGACATGGTTAGATAGCATCTCCAGTTCCAGTGAACATGAATTTGAGCAAACTCCAGGTGATAGTGAAGGAAAGAAGAGACTGGCATGCTGTAGTACATGGGATCACAAAGAGTCAGACATGACTTAGCAACTGAACAACAACACCTGGATGACACCTAACACTTTCCCCATGTTCCCTTGAACAATCATGATTTTACCTACAAGCCAGGCAATTTATGCTCTGTGACTGTCTCAAGTTCTCTACAAGTGGGGGAAACCCGCATGAATTGCTTAGGAAAGTGGTGAAGATCGTTAGCCAGTAAATATGCCTGTATTTCTCATGGTAGGATCCCAGGAAAAGCATCAGATATAAACAAAGTATTTGGTAGCATGAATAAGTTGCAGAAGAAAGAATTGATGAGAAAAGTTCCATGGGTAGAATTCAGTAATCTTACACAAAGAGGTGAGCTGGCTTCTGTTGGAGATACTGGCTCTAGGAAAGGGTTAATACTAGGAAACCAAGTCTTTACTCTTGAGGGACAGCGGTGGACCTTAATTTTAAAGTGTTTATTCTAAAACATTGAGTAAGAGTGCAGTATCTTTATGTGTTTGTGCTGATGGGTTTAAGGTGTAGAATCAAATCGTCTTTTCTTTTAGAAGTCACCTTAGACTTTATCCAGTTCAATTTCTGATCAATGCAGAAACCACCATCTCCAAGGGAACCCTGACACGTTGCCCTTCCTCATTTTTCAGCACCATCAGTGACAGACAACTGCTGGGATCAATCTTTCCCATCTCAGGCTGTGCCTTTTGTTAGAATGTCCTTTTTTTATGTTGTATGGAAAATTACAAGTTGAAAAGCATCTCACACAATGGCTGGCACATAGAAGGCATTCTATTTCAATAAGTGTTGCTGACTCCAAACCAGAAGTCCTGCAATATTTATTTTTATGTTCTTTGTCTATGTCTTTTATCCTCAAACTACACGGTATCATGAGGAAGGTCGACCATGAAGACCTTGAAGATACAACACACTAAAAGGAATAAAAGCCAACACCTTGGTCCACCTGCTTTACATCAACTCCATCAATTAATGTGAACAGCTTATCAGTTTTGTCAGCCATCTGGTAGCACCATAGCCAGTGTGTATGTATCTGCAAGTGCTAGTTTCACTGGGATGTGGTTGTGTTGATTATAGTGATTTTACTTTGCTTGCATATAAATCACAGTTGCTGATTTTCTAATAATTTTATAACATTAGAAAAACCAGTGTGTTGAGGAATTTTGTAAATTGTCAAAACAAACAAACAGAAAAGAGATTATGCCCTTCTTCATTTGGGATCTAGGTACACTGGATCCTTTAAATACTAGAAAGTTCTGAGTGATATGTAGGGCAGTTCTAAGCAGATGGTTTAAATATTCAGAAGTCCCCTACACTTTAGAACAAACTAGCCCTCAGCATTTTCACCTCTGTTCCTTCTTTTTACCAGAGCCAAACTACTGAGCATCTTTGGAAGAGCATCCCTTTCTGCTAAATTGTAGATTGAAAATATTTTGCATTTCTGTTTCCAGATTGCTTGGCATCAGTGCTCCAGTTGCTTTGTATTGATCAGTCGGATGTATCTGGGAGACTCCTGGATACAAAGTATTGTCACCAGTCCTCTGAGGGTTTGCTCTGAAGGCTTCTATGTGGGCCTGGAGAAAGGCTGGATTGTAGAAAGATTGTAAGTATGAGGTTTGGGAGGGGCCCAAGTCCTCCAGATGTTACTGCTTTCATATTTTCAATGTGATTCCAGGGACTTACCCTCCTCTCTGAGGAAGATAACTAATGCTTTGGCCTCATAGCATAGTCAGAAAAATGTGATCATTTGAAAGGGAATGTCTCCACACAACTCTTTCTTCCACCTACCCCATGGCTAATACGGATGATAAGCCTGGGCTTCTCTCCTCTCCGGCCAACTTGGACATTCTAAGGCCATGTCTGAATACTCACTGCCTTTTCTATGTCAAGGATTTTGGCCCCATTGCTACTTACCCTTCTATGAAAACAAATGAGAGGCTTCTAACTGGACAGGAAAATTATCTGAGGAAGTAACTTATCAAATGAGTCAATGTGTATCTGACCAGAACTTCCTCTTTCTGTTGGCGTCTCCTAATTCTGACATAGTCAGGCTTAGTGGTGGAGAAAGTATTTTAAGCTAAATTCCTGTGGTCACTTTTTCCATTTTCAGGCAATGGGTCATTCATTGTACATGGCGGTGAGCCAGAGATTTTGCTTCTCTTTTTGTATCATTTAAGTCTATTCCTTCTAAGACACATTTCCTACACAATGGGAAAACAGACAAAATATAAAGAAATCTTAGCCAATGGTTTTTTGTTTTGGTACTGAATTCAGTGGAGGATTTGGTGGAATAAAAGGTAAACTTACCAGGGGTCAGTGAAATTCTACCTACAACTAGCATCATTTCTTTTGAAACATGATGTATTTCTAGAGAAGGAAATGGCTATCCACTCCAGCATTCTTGCCTGGGAAATCACATGGACAGAGGAGCCTGGTGGGTTACAGCCCATGGGGTCACAGTTAGGCATGACTGAGCTACTGAACAACAGTGATGTATTTCAGTGTATCCAGTTTTTGGATCCAAAGGAATAAGTGTGGTTATAATTTCAATAGGTTTTTAATAGGTATACCTCAATGAATATACAGTTTTTCGAAATCTATAAGCCTATTTCAGCTATACTTTCATTGTTTAAGAAACAGCGCTCCTCTTTTTGTATAGATCAGTAGATTTCTTTTCTTTCTCCTAATCTAACATATCTGAAATACATCATGCACTCCCTCTAGTCCTCCCTCACCATTATGGCAGTGAGTCTCAAATGGAGGTGACAGCCAGGCAGACACTCCTTCGAAGGGTGTATCAGAACTTTGGGGGACACAGAAATATCTATGTTGAAGTTAGGAAAATATCATTTTTGTCATATTTTGTGTGACTTGGAGATCATTAAAATCTTCATTATTAAAGTTTTTGTATAAGTAAATTATAGAACATCTATATAATTCTATAAATTATTTGTACTACCTTTTACTATTAAAAAGATGCTTATAGAGAGTTTTAATGTATGGGAAAAAGGCTAATAATATAAAGCAGCAAATAAAAATAGGTACAAAAGAAGGATACATTTCAATTTGATGTTACCTAGCTTCCCTGGTGGCTCAGATGGTAAAGAATCTCCCTGCAATGAGGGAGACCTGGGTTTGATCCCTAGGTTGGGAAGATGCCCTGCAGGAGGGCATGGCAACCCGCTCCAGTAGTCTTGCCTGGAAAATCCCCACGGACAGAGAAGCCTGGCAAGATACAGTCCATGTGGTTGCACAGAGTTGGACACAACCAAGCAACTAAGCACAGCGCAACAGATAAACACAAAAGAACAGGAAAAACCTGGAAAGAAATGTGCTAAGAATGGCAATAATGCCCTGTGTTTGCGAGGATTATTGATATATTTCTGCTTCTTTATGTTTTTTTGTTTATCTAATTATCTGTAGTAAATGGATATTGTTTTGATAGGGAAATAATATAAAAGTAGAATAAAATGAAAGAAAAGAGTATTGAGGCAGAAATGGAGGTCATGAATTCTGTTTCCCAAGGTAAGCATTTAGATATTAGGGAATTATCTCACTTTGAATAAGCAGAGCCATCGATAGATGACAGGCAGACTTGTACCCCTAGAGATTCTTGAATTGTTTTCACCACTCCCTTCTATTTAAGTTTTCCCTTCAAAGTTTTGAACTCCTTACCCCTGGTGGCTCTTTACCACTGAGCCACTAGCTGGAGGCTCAGAGGTAAAGAATCCAGCCGCCAATGCAGGAGACGTGAGTTCGATCCCTGGGTGGGGAAGATCCCCTGGAGAAGGAAATGGCTACCTCCTCCCGTTCTTCTTGCCTGGGAAACCCCATAGAGGAGCCTGGTTGGCTACAGTCCATGGGGTCAAAAAAGAGTCAGACAAGACTTAGCGACTAAACAACAATAAAAACAACTTCAAAGTCAAGTAGACACAGCTCTGCTTTCAATTTAATTTACTTTCATTCCTATATTGAGAAAAGCTCTCTTAGTGGAAGGAGGTTTCAGAGGTCTGTGGGTGTCCTTCGTGTTCTCACACTCTCATCTTGAGCTGATTTTTTGCCATTGCCTATTCGTTGCATGAGGCAGAATACTTAAAGGTAGCTTTGTCTGCCTGTTCCCATTGGTTGGCAGATGCCTCTGAAAAAAGACAGAAAAGCCCATCCACTCTTGGACCATAAGCTAGCCATTCATGTATTGAAGTCACTGGAGGCTGATGTAATGATAGCAACCATTCATGTTGCCAGACAAGAGAACTCTGTCTGTAACACAGAAGTCTGGGGTGATTTTAGCTGGCCATTCCTTGCATAGAAATGATGTTGTAGGACCCTGATTGGCTGGGCATTGACAGATTTTAAAGGGAATATGAGGTGGTCTGAGCTAGTACAAGGCTTTGAGAGCATTCTGCCGTCCATCTGATAAGAAAAACTTCAGTTTCTAATTGCAGTGGCCTTTGGAATTAAGTAGCCAAAATATGTGAACTCTTATGAAAATCAATCATGATAAAAACTTACCAACTTGAAAAGTCATCATGGAATTTTTTTGAGCTCAGGGGTCAGTACCCCCCAAATTGTCTTTTTTCCCATTTAAAACTAAAGCCACAATTAAAGAAAAGGTTACCAGCAAAAATGTGAGTGCTGGGCACTGTTTTGTGTCTCTGGATCAAAGGCATACAATAGGGTGATTAAAAACATGCTGACTCTAGAAATTTGGGGCTTAATTAATGAGTTAATAATGGGAATAAAGCTCCTTTCCTTTAGAATTTAAAATTCCAATTATAAGCAATTGTGTTTTTGGCAGTTCATCCACAAAAGGTCTTGAGCAGATTGAATGACTGATTTATAATAACACCTAGGATATGTAGATTGTCCAAGGAAGTAACAACAAACCTAGGATCCTCCTAACATTTCCATGCGAGAGGTTGTGAGCACAAATTTTTTTTTAAAGATAATTTTCCATAGTCTCAATTAGCAAATCTGTCATCAACAAAGTATGAATAGAGATTTAAACACTTATTAGACAGTGCATTCAGTATGTGAGCCAAAGTAAGAATGGTCCTAAGTAGTACCTGTCTGATAAATTCTTCCTTTTATAGATCAGGAAAGTTTGACCTAAATTGTCTGGCTAGTGTCTAATTTCAATTTTTTATGTAGCAACTTGACTCAGGACACAATTTTCTTGAGATTATGCTAACACAGTAAGCTTTACTAAAGTTTATTTTCTTTTCTTTTTCGTAGGGTTGATGTGTCATCTCATCTAAATAAAGGTGATGGTGTGGCAGGCAGATAACCAGGTGGATTTAAATAATTGTGGACAGTCACTTCATCTATTCCTGGATTCCAGTGACCTTTGAACTCCCATTTCAATCTCTCTGTTGTAAGAAGTAGCAACGGAGGCAGTTAAAAGCAAATCCGTAAGGAATGTGTGTGTGCATGTGTGTCTGTTAATTGCCCATTCGTGTTCAACTCTTTGCAACCCCATGGACTGTGGCCCACCAGGCTCTTCTGTCCATGGAATTCTCCAGGCAAGAATACTGAAGTGTGTTGCCATGTCCTTCTCCAGAAGATTTTCCCGACGCAGGGACTGAACCCAGGTCTCCTGCACTGCAGGCAGATTCTTTACCATCTGTGTCATTGGAGTGGGTTGCCATGCCTTCCTCCAGAGAATCTTCCTGACCCAGGGATCAAGCCCATGTCTCATGTTTTTTGCATCGGCAGGCAGGTTCTTTACCACTAGTGCCACCTAGGAAGCCAGACACTCACATTTTGAGCTCTGAGTACGGTCAGCCTTACCTGAACTTACAGACTAAAAGTAGAGACTGTATTTTTCCTCAAGGAAGATCAAAATGCTATTATCAGAAATGGTCAATGCCCAGGAAAGCCATAGTAGCTGTCACCATTCAGAACCATCTATTAGAATTTTCACTCTACTAATGAAAAGCTATGGGCTTCCCAGGTGCCTCAGGGATAAGAATCCACCTGCAGTGCAGAAGACACGGGTTCAATGCCTGGATTAGGAAGATCCCCTGGAGAAGAATATGGCAACCCACTCCACTATTCTTGCCTAGGAAATTCCATGGTCAGAGGAGCCTGGCGGGCTACAATCCATGGGGTCACAAAAGAATTGGACACTACTTAGCTATTAAAACAACAAAATGAAAAGACCTAAGAAGTCTTTGCTAATTGTACCTCCAAGGAGGTGAAAATTCTTTAAATTAGCAATAGAAAATGAATTCAGTATGCTTCTGGACAAGGAGGAAAAGCATGAACTAGAAGGGTTGAATCAAAATAATGGAAACATTTGAAATAGAGTTTTCTAGTGATGCTCTGTATGACTCTGATAGTTGAAAAAACTTCTAGTTAAAAAAAAAAAAAAGACTTTTCTGTCTAGTAAGCTGGGTAATCTAAGCAGAAGTCTGTGTTTCTTCTAGTATCCAAGTCAGTCTCTAAGTTACAGTCATAGTCTGTGGTGAAATAAAGAGACAATGAAAAGTAAGAAAGGGAGGATATAAAATAATTCACATGAATAATCATCAGTTCCACCAGTATATACCTAGCCCTAGAGTCACACCTTTTATGATTTGAAAGCAATTCTCAATTTTTGGAAGGATCTCTTTTATGTCAGATCTCATCAGATGTATTGGAATTAAAAATTTAAAAAATAGGAATGCTTATATATTAGAGAGAAACAAAGCAATTGACAGATTTTAAAAAAATTTTGTTGGTTGTTTTGGCTCATGAAAGGATCTTCCATGATATATTATGCACCTCTATGACATGGCAAATGGCTCCATCACCTGTACTGAGAAGGATGAATTGAATTGGATCTCATGATTTTCAAGCAGTTGTACTGCAGGATGAATGTGTACTGCTCCTGCCAAGAAGTTTAGCCTTAACAGCCCTCACATGGACTAGACATTTCTATCTGCAAAGGATGTTTATACTCACCTTGGGCTACTTCCAAGGTTTTACTTTGGGTATCTCCTGGATATAGCCCTTCATTACAGAACTCTTTTATTCTTAAGAGGGAATAAAAAATCTTCCAACATGAAAAGAAGAAAACCACTAGTGAGACATCACACATTTTCAATGATGCACTGCAATCACTGCCTACCACCAGACCAGTGCCTGGAGATGAAGAAAGTGTGTGTCATGTCTAAGATAAATCAAAGGAGAATGTTAGCTTCTAGGGAATAACGACCAAAGTGCCTACAAATTTAGAAAGTCAGAAAACTTCAGCTACTAAGTTCCAGAGATTCTTCAGATATGTAAATAATATCAAAAGAGATGGGAAATTCCAGTTGTCTTCTGCAGTATCCTTCATCTGATAGAGATTCCCTCAAGAGGTTATGACTGAGAAGTGCAGACAGACTTTTTTAAGACTATTGACAAATGCTCTCCCTCAAAGACAAAACATCCAGGAGAAGCTACTTAAGTTGTGATCAAGTATCTAATCCTTTGGAAATGGGTTTTCCTTAGCATTTCCTTTATTTATTTTTTAGCAAAATTTCCCACCAGTTCCTTCATTCCAATTTATTAAACTTTAATGGAGACTCTATATGTCTCCACTCAAAAATGGAAAAGAATCATAATTTGAAAGAAGTGGAAAAAAATAAGACCTCAGTAATTCCAGATCAATGCTCAAAGCTGACTTATTAACATACTATATAAACTGAAGTGAATTAGATATCTGGTAATAATTTTTCTTTCTTCCTTCCTTGCTTGCTTCCTTTCTTTCTTTCTAACAAGTGTCATGCAAAAATGCGGTGTGGTGTCCAGGCAAAGAAATGAACAGAAAGAACAAATTCCTAACAGCAAGAAAAACTTTTACAAGCTTGAGTTACCAAGAGAAGACAGGTGGCCTTCTCAATGCCAAACATCCAGAGGTCTGCAAATATGTAAATGTTTTAAAAACACTATGGGGTTCCCATACGCAAATTATTTCTATGAATTTAAACAAAGGTTTAGTGATATTTCTTTTGACTATCATCTTCCTCTGAAATTGAAATTGTCATTATTTTTTCCACATCTAGAGTTCTAGATCTGGAACTGGAGATAAACTTAGTTATGTAATCCAGCTTCTTTCTGTAAAGAAAAAAAAAAGATACAGAAAATCAGTGGCTTATCTACTACCATTCACTCAGCCGATCAAGGCATTAATCTGGATTTCAGCTTTTCGTTTCTTTTTTTCTTTACTCTCACTACATCCCCATCCTATAAAGTCTTGTTCATTTCTCTCCATCTCAATTCCAGTAAAAATAATTACCAGCACTCTACTCATCTACTGTAGTAGCCTCTCTTATCCCCACATACATTCTCAATCCAAAATCTTCATAGTGATCTTTAAAACCTGTGATTATAGCGTCCCAGAATCAGTGCATTTCTTTTTAGAAAGAAATAAAACAATACATGCATAAAATATAATAAAAGATTATGTAACTTTCAAATTCTAATTTTGTATTTGTATCTATTGTCTCTTCTACTGAAAATCTGATTCTTAATGATTCCTGATACATTCAGTTATTTGCTTTATGTATGTCTGTGTGGGTGTGTTTTCAATTAACATTATCTAAATCATTACTGACAATCAGACCACTGAGTGCAGTGTATGACTCTTTTGTTATATTTTCTTGCCCTTTGGATATATCTCATCCAGGCTGTATAGTCAAAACATTGTCTTTTAAAATCACTATGATTATTTTTTTTATTTGGTTATATGACTAATTTGACACACAGTAGTAAGTTTGTTTTTGTTTTATTTCAATTTTTAGAGGTTGTCTTTTTTAGATATAAATTTTGTTTATTTAACTAGTGAAATAATCCCAAGGTCTCACAGAGCTATAAAGCAAGATTAATTAAGAGAAGTATATCTTTCTTCCCTGGCCCTTTCCCTTTTTTTATCTTCAATAGGTAACCATTTTTATGAAAGCTTGTTTTATTCTTCTATTTTTTTTTTAAATGAAAGCATAAACATTAATATATTTTACACATTCCTTTCTGTTTCTTCTGGTTTTTCCTTCAAAGGTATATGTTTGCGTAAAGACATTGAAGATAGAAGACATTTCTTTCTGTCGCAGAATACTATAGTGGACATACCATTAATTCAATGCATGGTGATTGCTCATTAACATAATGAGTGATTTTCATTCTTTTACAATGGTTTTACAACCACTTGTATCCTTGGGTATGCATCCTTTCACAGGTTTGCCAAGGTCTCTTCAGCATAAGTCCCAAGAAGTGAAAATTTTACATCAAAATATAAATACATATGGAATTTTTCTAGATAGTGCTAACATTCATTAGAACTGTGACATTTTGCAATTCTATTAACAGCATATGAGAATGTCTGTACCCTACTGCCTTAACAAATAAGTCTTCAAACATTAGGACTTGTTGCCAAGTCTTAATGAAAGGGGGATGGTACCTCAATATAGTTTTAATTTAATTTCTCTTATATAAACAAAATTAACTTTTAAAATATCTGCGACCCATTTACACATCTTTCTGTGAAATGTCTGTTCATATCTTTTACTCATTTTCTGTCAGAGTTTTTCTACTTCTTAATATTTAGAAGCTCTTCATATATCACTGAGATAACCTTGTATGATATAATTTGCATATATTTATTCCCAGCTTGACAATGGTTTTTTCTTTTTAATTTTTTTTCCATGTAAAGTTACCTTTCAGATTTAATGTACTCAGATTTATCTCTTTGGTGTATCTAGATTTTGGCTGTACTAGATCATTTTTCTGTCTCCTAGATTAAAAAGGAAGTCATCCATGTTTTACTTCAGTATTTATATAATGATAGTCTTACTCTAAAATAGCAAAACCATTTTTAATTAATTTGGTTTTATGGTATGAAAAATATACCGATTTAATATTTGTACTTATCACTAACTAGTTGTCTGCCCAGTTATTAAACGTTCTTATTTTTCCTCATTGCATAGAGAAAACCTCTTTATCAGGGCTTCCCTGGTGGCTCAGATGGTAAAGAATTTGCCTGCATTGCAGGAGACCCAGATTCAATCCCTGGGTAAGGAAGATCACTTGGAGAAAGGAAAGGCTACTCACTCCAGTATTCTTGCTTGGAGAATCCCATGGACACAGGAGCCTGGGGGTCTATAGTCCAGGGGTCTCAAAGAGTTGGACATGACTGAGTGACTGCTAACACTTTCACTTTTCACCCTCTTTATCATATATTAAATTTCCATATTTTTTCCCCTCCCCCTCTGAATTTTCCATTGCATTTCATTGGTCTGTTTGTGTACCAAAATAATTTTTTTTTTAAATAAAGAGGCTTTATGATATACTTTATTGATCTGTGAGGATCAGATCCCTCCCCAATTCTCATTTTAAGGCTTTCCTACCAATTTTCA